AGAAAAACCTCAAAACCCTCGATTTTATGAAGTCTACCAGGCGTTGCACCTGCTAGCCAAAAATCAGCTTCTGTGGAACCGCATCTGCGCCACCACGACCGCGTTTGTGGAAGCGCTTCTGCGCCCAAACGTTCAATTCTGCGGAAGCACCTGGCCACCTCAGACTCACCAACTTCCGCTTCTGCGAACTCCCTTCCGCAGGAGCGACTCTTCTTCTGTGGACCACCTATCGCATTTGCGACCCCAACATCCCCCAGCTCCCTTCGCACCTGCGCATCGCCAGTCGTACCTGCGACTCCGCACTTGTGGTCCCATTCTCGCAGGTGCGGTTGCACCAGACATCAGCTGCCTCAGCAAATCTTCTAAGTCCAAATTCATTCCGATTTTAACCCGAATCACTCCCGAGGCCCCATCCAAACATACAAACCCATCCTAAAACATCATACGAACTTATCGAGGCTTCAAATCACCTCAAACAACATCAAAAACACGAATCGAACCCCAATTCAAGCCTAATGAAACTAATGAATTTCATACTTCTACAATTGATGCCGAAACCTATCAAATCAACTCTGATTGACCTCAAATTTTGCACACAAGTCATAAATGACACAACAGACCTATTCTAAGTTCAGGAACTAAAATCCGAGCCCAGTAACAACAAAGTCAACTCTATCAAACTTCTCAACTCTCCAAACTTCAACTTTTCCAACTTTTGCTAATTCAAGCCAAAATCCTCTACGGACCTCCAAATCAAAATTCGGACACACTCCTAAGTTCAAAATCACCATACAGAGCTATTGGAACCATCAAAACCCCATTCCAGAGTCATGTACACGCAACTCAACATCCGGTCAACTCTTTCAACTTAGGCTTTCAATCTTGGGACTAAGTGTCCCAATTCATTCCAAAACATCCTCGGAACCAAACAAACACCTCAGCAAGTCACATAACAACAAGCAAATACAGAATAAGCAATAAATAAAGGAACAGGGATATAATACTCAAAACGATTAGCGGATCGTTACAAGTATACTATATAATGTAACAGTATACTATTAAAATTTGGTCCTTTTAAATTTTTTTGAAATTTTTATTGAGTTCTTTTTTAAATTTTCAACGCAGTTCTCATGTTGTTTCAATTTTTTTCTTAAACCAAAATATTTAGTTTGAAATATTTGATTGGAGGTTGTGACTAAAGTTTGAGCAAATTTGGTGAAAATTCTAGAGTAGATTATTTAAATTTAGGTTGAAATTGAGTTGAACTAGCGAAGAAGACTAATTTATATTATATACCAAAATAACGTACTATATATCATTTTGGTATATAATTGTCACGACCCAAACCAATGGGCCAGACGAGTGCTCGAGTCCAACCTGTCGAACACCCCTAAGTATGCGTCTAAGATATGAACATGAATTAAGGGTAGGTCAAGAATAACATCTGTCGATAAACTGTTGAATCACATGAATAACATACATGAGGAAAATATGTCCAAAAGACATATATACATATACATGCATAATACGGTATGGCAAGCCGACAAGGCTGCTATAGACAACTATATTTCCAAAATTAAAAGTCGACAAGGCCACATACTATCCAACTATACATGACTGTCTACAGACCTCTAATAGAGTGTACAACTGTGTAAAGGACGGGACTGGGCCCCGTCATACCCATATCTACATACAAAAATAGCGTACCAAAACTAATAACAGCTCCGGATTAAGTGAAGCACACCAACTCTGGCTGATCAAGGATCCTAAAAAGGGGTACTGTCGGCCTGTCTACCTGTACCTGGGGGCATGAAATACAGGCCCCGGGAAATAAGGGCGTCATTATGAATAATGTACCGATTATGTAAGGCATGAAAATCAGTACACAAAAGACATAAAAGAAACATGGAGTAAAGGAATCCGCCTGTAAGTCTAAATAACTTTGTGAATCCTGAAATATTTATAAAGTCATGCATGTGCGTATAAATGCCGTATCATGCATAGGTATATGTGTACATAACATCATCAAACCTCTGAGGGAATCCCGTCATATCATCTCAGCCTCTGTAGGCGAAATCATCAGCGTATACCAACTGATCAGGTGGTGGTGCGTATATAACACTATAACCTTTTCCCATATACATATAATATACGTGTATAAAACGACATTTGATCATGGGTCAATGTACATGTATAAATGAATGAAATGCATAAGAAGCAAGTTAATAAGATTTCTCGGAATGTCATAAGATCAATATGTCTTCGGATAAACTTTATCAATTACGTTTTTTTCTGAGACCCATGAACGAAGATATAATAATAAGACACATGGGGAATCAAGAACATAGGCACCCCTAGTGCTTCTATGAATAGAGACATTTGTGAAAGTTGTGCGTTTGCTCGTTTCGTTTGTATCATATGGATCATGCCAAAAGGAAAGAAGGGATAGCCTTAACATACCTGAGCTGATTCTCTTGATAATCTCTAACACACGTCAATCACGACAAAACACGTAACGGCAAGATCGAAGTAGGGAAAAATCCGTATGATATTCTTGAGAAAAGTTGTACCGTGCTCCCTTAGAATTTACAACTCACGCTGCTATAGCATTATAGGGGTTCATATGAATTCCTTTTGAGAATTCCTATCCGTTACTAGCAAGCACATATATTTCCCTTTAAAGATGTAGGGATGTGTCTTTATCATAGTGAGTGTGAGCCCACTTTAGGTGATTACTTAGCCAAAGAACTCCCTAAATTTTCTACCTAGCCCCATAACTTACCTAGTCAATATTGGCTTGACTAAGTATCCCTACTTGCTGCCACATTGGGAGGTATTAAGCTTATCTACAATTTTCTAATTAGCTTGTTAATCTTTCATTAAACCAATAATTAATTAATTTCCCACATAATTAAGTAATATCATAACTTACTTAAATACTAATCACTTTTAACACACTGTATATACCTTACTCTCATGGTCATGTGGTACCTTGTATGGCACTAGTCCATAAATACGGGGTATTATAGCTTGGACCGGATTTTATCCCAAATTGACAATCTTTAACGAAACTCATTTTGTTTGATTTTTTTACCCTCTAACCTTCACGATACTTACTTATCACCTGTTATAAATAGCATAAATACTTATAACCTAAAAAACAACCTCATTCCCGAGCCTACATCGATTAACTTACGACGAGACTTTAACGTTCAAAAATGCGAAATGTAACATCCTTCCTCCCTTAGTAACATTCCTCCTTGAATGTTTAACTCCCTGGGATCTATATAAATTTTGGCAGAGTCGCCTTTGTAACAGTGCTACTACCAACCCTTCTTGTAGAAAAGTCAATAATTCAATGCCACATATTGCCACAATCATCAATAACAACAATAGCCTCACATGACTAATGACAATAACAAACACAAGAATCCATACACGCATCTTAAGGCTATGATGTCTCATTCGGATCCTCCTCTGGAAGAGGAAACGAGTGGGGTTACCTAGACTTCATGTCTTCTTCAGCTTCCCAAGACATTTCTTCCACATTATTATTTCTCCAAAGTACTTTCACCGAAGCTACGTCTTTAGTCCTCAATCTTCAAACTTGTCTATCTAGTATAGCAATGGGAGTTTCCTCATATGATAGCTGCTCTGTGACCTGAACATCCTCAACTGACACAAATCCGGAAGGATCTCCGATACATTTATGGACCATAGACACATGAAAGACTGGATGTACAGACTCCAAGTCAGAAGGCAAGTCTAGCTCATATGCTACCTGGCCTACCTTGCGTATGATCTTAAATGGTCCAATGTACCGAGGGCTAAGTTTTCCTTTCTTACCGAACCTCATGACGCCTTTCATAGGTGATACCTTTAGGAATACCCAGTCATCAACCTAAAACTCCAAGTCGCATCGTCGATTGTCCGCATAAGACTTTTGATGGCTTTGAGCTACTAATAGTCTTTCCTGTATAAGCTTAATCTTCTCGATTTCCTCGTACCAGCTCTGGTCCTTCTAACTTAGTTTCCCCAACATCGAACCATCCTATAGGCGACCTACACTTCCATCCATAAAGAGCTTCGTATGGGGCCATCTGAGTACTGGAATGACAGCTATTATTATACGTGAACTCAATAAGCGGCAGATGATCATCCCAGATACCTTTCAAGTCTATCACACAAGCCCGTAACATATCCTCAAGTGTCTGAATAGTACGCTCAGCCTGTCCGTCTGTCTGGGGATGAAATACTGTACTAAGACTTACCTGAGTCCCCAATCCTTTTTGGAAGGACTTCCAGAAATTAGCTGTCAACTGAGCACCTTTATCCGAGATAATATATATAGGGACACCATGAAGTCGTTGTTGACATCCAATTTTGTCCCTCCTTTCTTCCAATTAATTTTCTTGAGCTTCTAAGTTATCAATACATCAAATATTTTATTTTATACTATTTTCTATTAATACTACTACTACTACTACTACTACTACTACTACTACTACTATTATTATTATTATTATTATTATTATTATTATTATTATTATTATTATTATTATTATTATTATTATTATATTACTATTATATTATTATTATGACTATTATTACTACTACTATTTTTCTTTATATTATTAATATTGTCACTATCGTCATCGTCATCATTATATATTTGTAAATATAATTCTTATTTTCATTTTTTGCAAAAATTTAAAATTTTCTTTATTTGGGAGAAATAATAACATTTCTTTCATCCCACACTTTATAAATTATTAGACATTTCATGCAATAGTTTGTAGTATTTATAACTATTTAATTAAGTTGCTACAAAATAATAACAATATAAAGTATAATCTTGTTAGGCTTTTAAATACTTTAATTATGAGAATATTGTTCTATTTAGAAGCCCAATAAATTAAATGAAAGAAAGAAAAAGTCCATAAAATTCCATCCCTACTAGCCCAATCTTGAACCTAATTTTTAGATCATTGTGGCTCAGAAAAAACCTACGCCAGCAGCCCATTAGCCTAATTTGGCAGCCCCCAATCCTCCATAGAAGCAAAACTAAGTCTTCTGATTTTCTTCCTCTCTCACATGCGCCCCTTTTGTCCTGAGATACGATCGAATATACTAAGTTTTAGCTGCCTACATCCGCACAAATTGAGCCGCTGCTCTACGCTACTCTGCTTCCCTTCACCATTATTTTTGTCTCTCAAAAACTCTATATCTTTTCCTTTCTGTCTCGGTGGACTTTGACCGTGACAGAGGTTTCGGAAGTCATTTGGCACGGGGTTCAGATCTTTCCATAGCGAGAGAGTAGATTCGAGGCCAACGTCAGTCCTGGTTCACTGACCAAAATAGGTCAGTAATTTTCTTTTGGTTTTGGAACCTTTAAATATGTTCACCCTTTAGTATTATTATTGTAACATTGTAAGTTTCCTATTGCACTTAGATAACATGAAAATATGCCCTCTGTATGTCTTGGAGTTAATCCTTGATGCTATTTGGATTTAAGTTATTACTTTATATTCAGCAGTATTGTTAGAAATTACGACTTAGGACCTTTCACTTCGTTATTACGGAAAAACATGTCTATAAGAAATTTCTGTTATGTTGTACTGCCTCTATGAGTATGTAGGATTATAGTCCTAGCATTTTTGATATCTAAAGCATATTTAAACAAGTAAGAATATTTTTTTTCTTCTTCTGTGATTATAGATTATATTTAAACTTAGAATGTATCATTAAATAAGTTTTTCCTTGTACAATAGTGGTGGTGTTGAAGTACGCTATGTTCTTTTCTCTAGTTTTGTCATTGCCATATGTACGAGTATGTGCAATAAACATCTGGATTTCGAGTCCTTTTATTCTTAGACACCATGTCTTAAGAATTTTTGTTGTTAAATGAGTAATTTAATGAGCTTCGGCATGTTAATGTAGTACAAGTTTCTTTGTTCATCATATAAGAGAACATGTCGAAAAGTTGCTACTATATTAGCCGACAGAAAAGTATCTAAAGTAACATGTCAAACTCTAATATTTAGAATCAGTTTTAGGCCACTCTTGGAATCCATGAGTTATCCTTTGTATGCTATTACATGAATTTGTTTAACTTTTGGAGATGACATGTGTGTTTTCATATGGACTTGAGCAAATTAATCTTAAAGATTTCCACTTGACGAACTAATGTTAAAATAATTTTTCTGTAAGGTAGTGTCTTTCTCTGTTGCTCCCATTTTGTCATTAGAAAACATGTTTGTAGGATTTTAGCAAAAGGCCTTCATATGAAAATGAGAATGTTCTTCATTTATTTTTTGTCATCTAGAAAGATTGTTTTGGGAGGCTAGAAACAAAATAACTGTGCTGGAATCCAGGAAGTTTGTTAAAGGTTTGAAAGTATGGGAGCTTGCAGCAATTGTCATTTGTTAAATTAGCTTATTATATGAGCTGATAGTTTATCTTGGTTATAATTCTATATCCTGTTAAGAATAAAATTTTCTTTACTAATCCTTTTTCTTGTCTTTCTTTTGTTTGCATGATACACGGCAGCGTTCTTGAGTCGCTTCAAGACTCGACCTTGCCGTTAGACCAAGAACCCGTATTTATATCTTCCTCCATGTCGTCATGCCTCTCTCTCGCCCTCTCAAGATGCTTCCGAACAAAATTGAAAGAGAGGGAGGGAACTGTGACATCCTGTTATACTTTGCTACGATTTCCTACCATTGTTGAATTTTATATCTGACATTTACTTGGCTGTAGTTTGTGCTTGGAAAAGTTTACAGTTATTTTATAAGTTCTAACTTAGCTAAAAATCTAGCCTTCTTTGGACGGGTAGAACTTGGCACTCACCGATAACGATTCTCTTTTGGATTTGGGTACACCTAAAGTCGTGGCTATTTCTTTAATAAAGTCAAAGACAAGTTCTTTACAAAAGAAAAATATAGCAGATTATCTTTAGTACACTTAGCTTTAAAAAATGATGCTTTTCATATCAGGTTTTGTGGCTTTTTTTGGTTGAAAAGATGGATATATATATATATATATATATATATATATATATATATATATATNTATATATATATAATCAAGCTCTTACAAGAGAGCAGCTATGGAGATGCATTAGAGGTATCAGATTTACAATACTAGAGGTAGAACCTAAGGCCCCCGTAGAAGAACCATTACTATGAGTAAAAGTAGAACTAGCCAAAATACTACTAGAAGTAATAGGTACATTACTAGTTAAAATACTACCATTACACAAAGTAGACCTAGTTTTAATCATCCTTCTTATAATTTCAAACATTATTTATCGAGTGCACAAATTATTGCTTCTTAATTAATCACCTAGTTTAAGCATGTTCGATTTATCACTTAATATTTTTTTCTTCTTCTAAGCAGTTGTATTTAATATTAACATTTACACTTAGCCTTAATAACCTAGGTTTGGCCGGTTAACCGTAGTTAACGGATCATATAGGGTGCCTACATAACCGTCCCTATAGGATGAATTAGAAGCCTTACCCTTACTCTTAAATTAGGCAAACCATAAAACAGAGTTAACTTTAAGCATTATTTAGCTAAAATTGGTGTCCTAATTCACCGTTGAAATAATTAGGTGGCGACTCTTTTAGTTAATTAAACCTCAAGATTTACCAATATGATATACTCTAGTTTGACCCGTGTTAAAATGGCGTATAACAGTCGTACTATCTCCTTAATATAAAGCCTTGCATAATCCTCTGCGGAATATGTAGTCCTAAGGGGCAGAAAATGGGCTGATTTTGTAAGTCTATCAACAATCACCCATATAGAATCGAACTTATGCTGGGTACGAGGTAAGCCTATGATGAAATCCATATTAATTACTTCCCACTTCCAAGTCGAATCTCTATAGCCTGCAATAATCCGCTGGGTTTTTGATGCTCAATTTTAACCTGCTGACAGTTAGGGCACTGAGCAATAAACTCTGCTATATCCTTCTTCGTTCTGTACCACCAATATATTTCCCTGATATCATGATACATCTTTGTTGCTCCTGGATGGACAGAATAACGAGAATAGTGAGTCTCTCCCATAACCTGCCGGCGCAGCCCTACAACATTATAGACACATAATCTTCCTCGATATCTAAGGACTCCATCTCCCGTAATCTCAAATGGTGTCTTCTCCTTCTGAGGGGTTGTATCCCTGTAATGAGCTAACACAGGATCCTCGTACTGGCGTTCCTTCATCGTGTCCTGAATAGTAACTCCGGTAACCTGAGTCCAGTAATCGAACTCCAAGACTAGCTAGCTGATGAATCTCATGGGCTATTCCACTCTTCTCTGGCTGTAAATATGACAGGCTACCCATAGATCTACGGCTGAGGGCATCGGCTACTACATTCGCCTTCCCCGGATGGTATAATATCAATGTCATAGTCTTTCAGTAGCTCCAACCAGCTCCTTTGGCGTAAATTCAATTCCTTTTGCTTGAAGATATATTGAAGGCTCTTATGATCCGTATAGATATCAACATGAATGCCATATAAATAGTTCCTCCACATCTTTAGTGCATGAATCACCGCAGCTAACTCTAAATCGTGGGTCGGGTAATTCTTCTCGTGTTTTCTTAGTTGTATAAAAGCATAAGCTACAACCTTACCATGCTGCATCAGTACACAACCCAATCCAATGCCCAAAGCATCACAATAGATAGCATAACCATCGATCCCCTCTAGGAGCGTTAGACCCGGTGCTGAAGTTAATTTTTCCTTCAATGCTTGGAAACTCCACTAGCAAGCATCAGTCCATTGAAACTTAGCTGCCTTCTAAGTCAACTTTGTCAATGGTGTTGAAAGAGAAGAAAATCCCTCTACGAATCTCCTATAATAACCTGCCAAGCCGAGGAAGTTACGAACCTCTGTCGGTGTCGTGGTTTTAGGCCAAGTCTTCACTACCTCAATTTTTTGGGTATCAACCCGGATACCCTCACCTGAAATAATATGTCCAAGGAAAGCTACAGAATTCAACCAGAATTAACATTTAGAGAGTTTTGCGTACAACTTCTCTCTTTGTATAACTCTGAGCACCGTATGCAAATGATATGCATGCTCAGCCTCTAAACGGGAGTATACCAATATATCATCAATAAATACAATCATGAACAGATCTAGAAAGGGTCTGAACACACGGTTCATCAAGTCCATGAATACTGCTAGGGCATTGGTCAAATCGAATGACATATCACGAAACTCAAAGTGCCAGTATCTTGTCCTGAATGTTGTTTTCGGAATATCCTTCTCCTTAACCCTTACCTAATGGTACCGGGACCTCAAGTCTATCTTCGAGAAACACTTGGCACCTTGCAACTGATCAAATAGATCATCAATCCTTGGGAGAGGATACTTATTCTTGATCGTTACCTTATTCAATTGTCTATAATCAATACGCATCTGCAAGGAACCATCTTTCTTCCTCAAAAATAACACAGGTGCTCCCCACGGTGATGTACTAGGTCTGATAAAGCCTTTATCAAGCAAGTCCCTTAGTTGTTCCTTCAACTCTCTCAGCTCTGCAGGTGCCATTCTATGGGAGGAATAAATATTGGCTAAGTATCTGGTAATATGTCAATTGCAAACTAATTTCTTGCTCTGGCGGAAGACCCGGAAGCTCATAGGGAAATACATCTGGAAACTCATTAACCACAAGGATAGATTAAACGGTTGGTGACTCTACTTTCACATCCTTTACCCGAACTAAGTGATAAATATAGCTATTTCTGATCATCTTCCTTGCCTTGAGATAGGAAATAAATCTACCTCTCGGCGATGCCGTATTACTTTCCCACTCCGAAACAGGCTCCCTTGGGAATTGGAATCGAACCATCTTTGATCTACAATCAACGTTGGCATAACAAGAAGCCAACCAATACATATCCATTATAACATCAAATTCTACAATATCTAACTCAATTAGGTCTGCTACTGTAGATCAACTATGACTACTACTGTACAATCTCTATATACCCGCCTAGCTATCACTGGATCCCCAACAGGTGTGGACACCTCAAAAGGTTTAACCAACTCAGGTTCTATTCCAAACTTACTAGCAACCAACGGAGTAACATATGATAAGGTGGAACCTGGGTCAATCAATGCATATACATTATATGAGGAGACTGATAATATACCTGTAACAACATCAGGTGACGACTCCTGAACCTGTCGACCTGCTAATGCATAAATGCGGTTCTGAGGACCGCTCAAACTAGATGCTCCACCTCTGCCTCTACCACGACGGATTGGTGCTTGTGAACCTTGACCAGGGGAGCGTACTGATGATGACGAACTAGCTACAGATCCCACTGGCTGAACTATACTTGCACCACCTCTCGTCGGACAATCTCTCATAACGTGGCCTGGATAACCACAAGTATAACAAACACCCAACCCCATAAGGCACTGCCTAGCATGCTGCTTATTACACTGACCACATCGTGGCATGGGCGGCCTCATCTGACTTGACTCGCCCCTATATTGAGAAATTGAGGCCCTGGAATTCTGACTAGGCCCTGAATATGTGGAACAATCAAATCTCTTACCGAAAAACTGAGGGGGTGCGCTAGCCAATGGCTGGGCTGGATACCTCAGGTATTGTTGTCTCTGACCACCTCGAAACTCACTAGAAGGACCCGAAGATCTCGCTCTCTTACTCTAGCCCCTATCATGCTCATGATCAGCCCTCTGCTTCTGCTTACGCTTCTCTACCCCCTGAGCGTATGCCTAAATACGAGAAATATCCATGTCTGACTGAAGTGAGACCGACATACAGTCGTTAAGCAGGTGCGACTCCAACCCCATCACAAACCGTGAACCCGATCCTCTATCTTAGATACAATAGTGGGAGCATACCTAGCCAACAAATCAACTTGAAGATTGTACTCCCGAACACTCATTTTACCCTACCGAAGGGTCAATAACCTATCAACTCTGGCCCGTCTAAGCTCTGGCGGTAGATAATGATGAAGAAAAGCCTCTGTAAACTCCTTCCATACCACTGGAGGGGCATCCTCACCTCTGGACAACTCTGAAGACTCGTACCAATTAACTGCAACATCTTGAAGTCTATAGGAAGCTAGCTCAACTGACTCAGTCGCAGTGGCCTTCATTACCCTCAAAGTCCTCTGCATCCTATCGATAAATACCTGAGGGTCTTCATTTAGATCTGCTCCAGTGAACACCGGAGGGTCCAAATTAATGAAATCACGAACCCTCCCACTGATGGACCTATCTACATGACCAGTACCTACCTCCTGGCTCTGAGCCTGTGCGGCTACTAATCGAGTCAATAGCTGAATAGCATCTCTCATCTCCTGACCTGGTGAATCTGGCTGAGGAGCTGGATATACAGGGGCCGGCGCTGGAGCTGGTGCCCCTCAGAGCTCCTCTGGAGAGGGCGAGGTATGTGAAGTCTAAGATGGAATCTCATTATGAGACTCTCCCTGAGCCTTGGTAAATTGTGGCGCTTGACTAGTAGTCTCATCGGCCACGAACTTGCCCTTCTGGGTGGCTATAGCCTTCTTAGGCATTGCTGAAAACATAACATATCGTTAGGAAAAATGAATTGCACGATCTAACATAAGAAGGGAGGATAACATCTTATATGTCATATAGCCTCCTGTCTATAAGTGTGGTGAACAACACACCCATAAACAAGACTCTACTAGACACGGTCTATAGACAACCCTAGGATAAAACTGCTTTGATACCACTTTTTGTCACGACCCAAACCGATGGTCCATGACAAGTGCCCCAGTCCTACCTGTCGAACGT